TAAAAATTTGGCGCCTATTATAGCTTTATTCGGCACCTGATACTGTACAACATGTCTTTTTAATTTTGTAGAAAACAATTCTCGAATTTTTGTACTGGTCCTCTGTTTTCTCTTGTTTTTCAAAGGCTACACTGCTGTTTTTGGCTAATTTAATACCAGAAAATGCACAACCGAAACTAGCATGCCAAATAAGTTGAGAATTGATGCGAATCTAGGGAAAGCAATACGTTACAACGTATTGTTGTGATGAACGAGTGTAGTTACAATCTTTTTAATGACTACCATTTGCTCAGGAAATCAAAATAGAATAACTTCTAAACACAAAAAATAGTGTGTTGGTGTACGATATATTTATTTATGGAGTAAAAATGGTATTTTCTTCTACGTATCCTCCTCAGCAAATGCATAAATCCTGTAAACGCACGTGTGGTCCCTCGCGCCATGATTGGACAAAATGCAAAAATCGAGCGCTTCAAAGGATATATCATTGTGCAGCTCAAATTCTTGATACCTACCCGCTCCCTCATACACGTACTCACCAAGATTTTCTTTTTTATCGGCATTAATTCCCATTATCCTGATATTTTTAATTGCACTCGCATTCTTCTTGCTAGCGGGATGAAACAATCCAATCCTGACAATCTTAAAGGGCCTAGCAAACTTGAAAATGATGTGTCCCTCAGTGCCACTCATAATAAAACAGTTGCCCAGCTCCAAACCTTCTGACATTACACTATTTATGTGACGCCCACTTTTTTGGAATATCAAACCGTAGTAGTACGGTTTAGCACTGTTCTGAATATCAATTATCGTGCCCTCTTCTACTCTACCCACATTAAACACTCTTTTAGCTGGTTTTTGAACCGATAACTTGCTCACCACATCCTGCAAACTTTTATTCTGTGCACGCAGCAGTCGAATGTCCTTCTTATAATCCTCCTCGGTTGTGTTATGTGCTCTGTTGAGATACGTAACGATGAAAATCGTAAGAACTGAAACAAAGAGAACCACAAAATGCCGTTTTATAAAAGATGTTGTTTCGTTCTTTACGATACATGTTAATCGACAGAGTTGTGATTTGGTACTATCATTTTTGTCTAGGAAAACACTTCTCTCATAATCAATGGTGTTACAGCCGGTGATTGCCGTGTTATCAACATGTTTTTCTTCGCTTCTCTCACTGGAATGTTCATCATTATAGTGGTTTTGGTGTGCATCATCTGAGACCTCGTACCGATCGTGATCACTCTCATTTAGTTGATTATTTGAACCTTCTTCGTGCTCATCGTTTGTTATTTTAAGCCTGTTTTCATCGTCATCATGACCATGATCTGCTTGTTTCTCGTGAAGCCCATTGATAATGTCAGTGACCTTTTTCTTCAGAATGTTTGGTTTGGCAGACTTTAACGCGAACGAGTCGTCAGAGTCTAAGTTAAAACTTGATTCAGGCGTTTTTAAAAGTTTTAACATTTTTCTACGGTCCATCCTGGGGGTACTAACCACCATTGACAAAAAACATGGCGTGAATCCAAATATATTGTGAGGTGCGAATTGGCAACAAACAGCTAACATGTCGTATACATGTAATTATTTGGTTAGAATGAGAAAAAAAACAGCATTGAAGCAGTTATACCACTTTGTTGTATTTGAACTATATAAAAGGGACAGAATGTCAAAATTAAAAGAGTAAAAGATTTTGACAAGGCATGTCGTGATTGGTCGCAAGTAGAACTGCTGAATTTCTGTCTTATTCAGAATTTATAGACAATCATATCTCACTAAAATAGTCTTTTAGCACCCATGCTGGGTTAAATGGTGTGTAATTATCATAGAACGTGTCTAAACGTAATACATATAATATTGATATAAACACGGTATTATAACTATATCTGCTGTCAATGACATTATACAGGAGTATTATTTGTAGTTGAAGTGTAAATGACAGGATGAAATTAATTTATCACATATAACATCTATTTATTGATTGGCTGGAAAATAGTGATGTATTGGCGCTGACGATATGTACGAATATATCCTGTGAAGGAATATGTTCAATAAACTTAATCATGGTATATAAAAGAAGTACAATGTGTTTGCACAAAAAAATATAGGAGTAGTTATGGTAGAATGAATAATGAATTTATTTACTGTTTAGATGGTTAGTGGCAGAGTATTTTTTGTTCATGAATTTCAAAGGTAGGTGATCTGCCAGGTAAATAATCCTACTTCCTTGTCATTCATACAATAAATCGCTATATTTACCATACATAGATGAATACACGTAAAAATGGCTTTATATAAACGAATAGTATCATAAACCGAATTGAGTTTATTTTAAGATTTTTTAGGCTATTAGTCCTATACGATAAACCGTGCATGTCATCAAAAAACACTTTTACAGACACACACCAATTATCTTGATATTTGCAAGAATCGTGCGCACTCCTGGTTTATTTATCTTTTGCTATTTAACAGACATATTGCTTAGCTTCACATCCTACCATAATCCCCAAGATAAAACTCTAGAGCCAGCAGACAAACGAGCAGACCATATATCGCAAAAAAAGCGTATGCCAGCTCAATTTCAAGCTTTCTAGTCCTTATTTCGTAATTGAATGATATTATAATTCACTAGCTACGCTATCTCGTTTGCACAATGGGTGTATGAATGGATAGTTGATCAAAATAGCGCTTTTGAGTACAACTGCAACATTAGGTCATTCCTTTCTACTAACTGTTCTGTGGTTACAAATCAATAAATCACTTTCATTCCAGTAGCTCATTATACACAACATTTCTTGTGTATACTTTACCATTCTCATGCTTTCCTTGGTCTCCATTGTCAGCAACATACACCCTTATACCGTTTTCATAGCACACTCTCGACAAAGCTACATACAACTGACCATGCACAAAGACTGGGCTGTGCAGATAAACACCTACCTTGTCAAATGACTGACCCTGTGATTTGTGGATTGTGATCGCAAACGAAAGAAGAACCGGAAACTGTCTTCTCTTGAGTATGAATGGCAGCTGTGTCTCGCTCGGTGCCATATCGATCCTTGGTATGACTACCCTGCTACCTTTCCTGGATCCGGTTACAATAGTGGCTATGATGAAGTTTGTGTGAAGTTCATCAATCACCAGGCGTGTGCCATTGAGCAGGCCATTGACTGGATCAAGGTTGCGCAATAGCATTATCAACGCACCTCTTTTTAGAACTAACTTGTGCGGTGGCATTCCTGAAGGCTGCTGCTTGTTGAGAAACTCTAACGGATAGTTTGCAACAACATCATTGTCTTCTGTGACAATAGAATCTGCACTCGTGTATGTTACTTCGTTGCCGATCATCAAGTCAAGGACCCTGTCATTGATTTCCTTTGCAGCATCGTTGTTTGTTGTGAGTATAGCTCTGTTCGTCAGATCTTCGCTGTCAGCCATGTTGGTAACATCACCATATATCTTGTTAACGATGTCATTGCACATATCGTTAACATAGTCATTGAACAGCCCAAGTGCATCATGCGGTCTGTTGAACACACAGATGTATGCGAGCAGCTTTCTGATGTGGTCAGATGTCTCTGTCATTGCAGCTTCGCCCAGCACGTTCTTCCATTCATTGTCATCCTACAGAAGATTCTTGCCCTTGCTGCTTCCTCGAATGTGCCATATACAACATTGTTGGCACTTCTTAAGTCGTCGAATGACGTAGCACCTCTCACATTGAGCAAGAGCATTCTCAGATAGAATCTCTCCTTTTCCTCTGGATTGACCGCATACAATCTTGTAATGACTTTGTCATCACCCCGCTGTCGCAATACCCATCGGCTGTTCTGGTACACATAGTGATATGAAATGTCGGTGTAGAGATATTGTCTGATTATTTTTTACTGCAACTGGTACTATTATTTTGGCCCTATACTTTTTTAGAACATGCACAATACCAAAGTGCTTTGTTAAGAACTGTGCACGGAGCACAGGAACATTTTGCAGACTCTCGTAGGTCCGATCAATAAATAAGGCTTTGCCGCGGTAGACAATCAGCTGATCATCTACAACACAGACAAAACCACCAGGATTTAACAATTGTGTTTTTTCCACCAAAAACTTTTCAGTCGGCGTATTGTCAAAATCTGGATACATGGGATATCGACTTCTCAACTTATTTATAGTTTTATTTCTTCCAGAAAAATGAATGTTAGTCAATGATGAGAACATACAAACTGTTCACCAAAACATCTGTTTGATTGTGATGTTATGTTCTGTTACACTGACCAAAAACACACTTCTACATCCATTTTGTATTCGCAGATGTATCTCATTCTTTTTCTGGTAAATCATCTAAATATATCGTGAATGTCATCGTAATTTGTTACAATGTTGAGGAAATCAAACAAAAATTAAAAGTGCAAATATGTTATTTACTTCATGCATTTTGATTGGACATGGTGATGGTCATAAAACAGCCAACCAAATAATGATAGGGGTTGAATAAATAAAAATAGAATGAAAATATTGTTTGTAAATGATGACTAAGTGCATCTCAGAAAAAATGAGTTGTACAACAACTTTAGACTCTTCATTCAGTGCAAATACCTGAAACAAAGATTTTTTATTTTTCTCTAAGGGTCAAATAATTTATTTCCCAGAACTCATCAATCAGCTTTCGAGTTGTCTTTTTACTCATGCGATGATGATATCATCTGATGTCTGTTCACAATAATAATGAATCGTAATATCAGATATAAAAACTACTACAAAAACACATATAATATTTAGACAACACAAATTCATAAATACTATTTAATCTTATGATTCTCATATCTGGGTGTTATTTACTGGCGTATCAGCTCTTCCAGATGTCCTCTAACACACTTATAAAGATCACAAACTTGCTGTGCCATAGATTCAGAGTTGTTATAATCCAACTCCTCAATTTTCTTAAGTATTTCATCTCGTCTCTCAGAATAGCTTGTGGAGAGATACCGTCCAATATATCCATACAACCATTTTACGTTTTGTCCTAATCTCTCTTTCATATGACGTGAATAGATACGAAGAATCGCCTTAAGAATGTATTTTCCATCTAAGTGCTCCATGCTTAGATTCACATCCCAAGTAGCTTTTGAATAATGGTTTGTAAACCCAATCTTGTCAAATAAACCAGACAGCAAAAAGAATAGAGGCTCATATCCCTCCAAAAAAGTATCGCAAACAGTATCAGGATTACTCGCACCACAAACTGTTGAGCAAGTATACTCCAACTCGGAAAAAAATACGTACTTAGAAATAACGCTTGACTTAACTTTGAACACATAAAGAAGTTGTGAAAACAGAAATGTACGAACAAAGGAACGATAAACGATCAGTCTCAGCATATTCTGTTTGTTCTTATATTGATCATCTCCTCTATTCCTCAGTTTTATGCATGATAACACAATGTTTTCGATTCTGCTGGCAATATATATCGTGATCGCTTTATCACGCAGCAATATTTTTGTTACATTGTTGCGGAACTGTATAAAATACCCACAAAGGCTTGTAAACTCGGAAAAAAGCAAACACTTGTCAATAACTTTGTTTCCGTACAGCATTTCTAATGAGTTTTCAAATAAATTATCGATCACATTTTGCATAATAAAACAGCTATTAGGATGATAATGCCTACAACCTACACATTTCACACTTTCACTACTAAAATACTCTGCCTCACTTATCTTCGAATTAGTTGTTAGCAGAGAATAAAGTTCATCGTTGTATCTGGCGTAAAGCCTCAGCAGCTCAGAAATTTTTTTCTCACCCTCACAGCAAACAGCCACTTTATCGGAATTTAATCTTTCAATTGACACTGAAAATCTTTTCATCTGAACAAATATGTTTGTTCTAAACGTAATATATTCGGAAATTAGTGACAAACTACCGCAATTATCTATTCCCGTATTAACTATACTTCCCTTATTTATACGTAAACAACGTGCAAACTTAACCAACATTTTTTTTAGATTATCAAAATACCTGGACAACTCCAAATCTCCTTGGTTATCCTTTGTTGTTTGCTCATATTCTTGAGCAAAATCTTTTCGTCTATCTACCACTTTAAAAATGACATTTTGTAACTTTTCAAGCTTATTTGAGCGATCTTCATTCGATTGTCCGCTCACTCTCTTGCGTTTTCTTGAGCTGCTCGTTCCCGCACTTTCACTATCACGTTGTGCATTTTTTTGTGATTCATCACCACAAGTGGTCAACTGCGTAGGATGGCCGACTACTTCCATACCAGGATATATGAAAGTGTTGCTTGGAGAACTTTCTCCGATATGTCCACTATCCTGGTCAGGATACGAGTTGTACATCACATACACTGATCTGATCAGTAAC